AAAAATGTTCTTGTTGCAATGACTAGTTTGCCATCCTCTTTTGAGTTACAATTTTTTATTTGACCGTCTTAAAGGAGTTTGTCGGTGTTGCTCTTGTAGAATCCATGAGAGATATTCAGCATGCCATTGACTTAGTTCCAAGTTTGTAGTTGCCTAATCTTCCACATTATAGAATGACCTCTCTCAGTTGAAAAGGCAAATTTTGACCTCTTAGTCAAAGGATTTGTTCGTAATAGTCCTAGCCCCTGTGTTGTGCATGTTTTACACAATCTTAAGAAAGATGGATCTTGGGGAATGTATCTAGATATAATTGAGCCGTTGACAAAATCATAGTCGAATATAGTTTTCCCAATCCTCGACTCGAGGATATGTTTGATGAGCTTACCTATTCTATTTGGTTTTCTTAGATAGACTAGCGCAATAAGTACCATCAAATTCGAATTTGCTAGCGTGATGAGTGGAAAACTGCATTTAAAATTCAAGATGATTTGCATGAGTGATTAGTAATGCTTTTTAGGATTTCTAATGCTTCAAGTTCTTTTATGCGAGTCATGACTCATGCTTTGTGACATTGTATGGGGGAAGTTCTTGTTGTCTATATGATGATATCCTCAAATATGGTCCATCCAAAGAAGCTCATCTAGATGTTTTGTACAAGTATTTCATTCTCTTCGAGAGGAAAAACTTTATGTGGATCTTAAAAAATGCTATTCCTTGCAATTCTAAGCCCTTTTCTTAGGATTTATCATGTTTGTCTAGGGTATTTGCACAAATCCTACAAAAGTTTCAATTATTCGTGTGTGGAGTTTCATTAAGAGTTTTTTTTACCAATATAACCTTTGTCACCGTGTCCATGAAAAAGGGTGAATGAAGTTTCATTTTACTCTTTTAGCTAGTAAATTTTTCTTAGAAGTGAAGAAAAAAATGATCAAGGTACTAGGGTTGTGACACCTTTCACTCTATAAAGTTTTTGAAGTTGCATTTGAGGCCTCGTAAGAATAGGTTGTATACTAAGAGGATCATCTTGTAACCTATTTTACGAAAAACTCAAATAACGCTAAATAGATGTATTTGACCTATGCCAAGGATATTTATGCAGTGATGCAATCTCTTATGTTACCCAAGGAATTCGTCCTTTACTTCGATCATTGGGCCCTTCGATACTTTGACTCTTTGCGTAAGTTAAGTGAACGGAATGTTGAATGGTTGAATTCTTTTAGGAATACACTTTCGTTCTTTACCACTGTGCACGAGGTGAAAGGTTGCTGATCCTCTTATCTACATTTCCATTGTCCTTCATGCTACGAGCAACAAGGTGGATGGCTTTGAGCGTCCGAAGAATAAATATCCATCGCAATTTTAGCATGATCCATAACGACCTTTTATATACTACTCGCGTTCATGTCAATTTCATCATTTGAGATTGATATCTTTTTAGAGGTAACTAATTATGCATTTGCACTTTTATTGGAGAATTTCTATTTTGGGATATATACAGAGGTGTTGTGGCTTGACATTTTGGTAGGGATAAAATTGTTGCCCCATTGCAGGATAGGTTTTATTGGCCTCTCCCTGCACACTCTTGCAATGTCTCTCATGTCAGCTAGGGAAGGCACAACATAGAATAGTTGTTTATACACCCTACTCTTTGTTGCCTATAGCAAGACATTGTCTTACGCTTACCAGAACCTATCAAGGGTCGTGATTCAATTATAGTAGTAAAGGTACACTTTATCCCTTAGGCAAAATCTATTGATGCCTCCTATGTTGTGGAATTATTTTTTCGAAAAAGGTCCGCCTACGTTGGTTGCCTTCCATCTTTATTTCTGATAAGGATGTCAAGTTTGTTAGCTATTTTTGGAAAATCCTATGGAAAATGTTTGGTACAACACTCAAATATTCATTTACTTTTCATTCTTAAACAAACGGTTAGATGGGGGTTGTTAACCATAGTTTAGGTAATTTGCTTAGATGTTTAGTTGGGGAAACTGAGCATTTGGCATTTTGTCTTACCTTTAGCTGTGTTTAGATATAACAATTATGTCAGTACGTGAACACGTAAGGGCCCTTTTGAAATTTTCAATGGTTTCTCTCCTTGCCAACCAATTGACCTCATGCCTTTGCCTACTGATTTTATTCCTTCTACATCACAAGTACAAGTCTTTGCAGATCATATTTGAGAGTTACACAAAGAAATAATAAGAAAAATTTCTTTAAATAATGCATGTTATAAACTTGTTGCTAACTCACATCGTATGCGTGGAGAATTTTTAGTTGGTAATTATGTGATTGTTAGTATTCTTTCATAGCATTATCCAAAACATGTTGTTAAAAAACTAATGCTCGCTCTGTGGGCCCCCTATACCATACAAAAACTTAGAACTGATGCATATCGCCTAGATTTACAACCACATTTAAATATTAATCCTGTTTTCAATATTCAATATAGCCCTTGTTTGGTCTCCATTATTTTCAAAATATATTTTCTCTCTTATTTTCAATAACACATTTTTTAATAAAATAATATTACATGTAAACTTAAAACTGTTTCTTATTTTTTAACCACACGTTCTCCATCAAAATACTATTCCAAAATACATTTTAGATGAAAAATGGGACTCAAATAGGCTCATAATATATTTGTATTCCTATCGAGGCACTTTTGAGCCTTTAGTTTTGTCTTCATCTATTTATGCAAGTAAAACATATCTTGTAGTGCCATGAACTCCTACACCAACTCAAACTCCAACTTCGAATCCGACTCCGACTCTGACGTCAAAAGATGTGATTGTTGAGCTTATTGATTAGATTGTTGCTTCTAAGGATGTTGGCCATCGTAGATTTTTGGTTAGGTGGCAAGATTGACCGCTTACGAAGGATACATTGATCAAAGAAGATAAATTCTGGGGTCTCGATTCAAACTTGCTAGAGTCCTACTTGGGGCTTAGCTTGCAGGAGTCGAGTTCTTTCCACCCCTGGAGAAATGATGGGAAATAACTAAAAGTATACTCTAGGTGAAAGGCTAATAGATAGAGCTTAAGTTAATATAGATTTCAATAGTTTCATCATTTAGGAGTTATGTTTATCAATTAGGAGTACGTTATTTATTCGTTGTTATCTTGTAGAAAGTTCCTTTGATTTTTTTGAACCTTTTCTATATAAAGGGATGGGGGTTTCATTTTCATTACAACTTGATTATTAATGAATTGATTATGATTTCCTTCTCCCTCTTTCTTCTTCATTTCCTCAATTTATATATATCTATTACATTCTACACGCATTCAATCCCCAAGTTAGGATATCTTTGAGTTTTTATTTTGTTTTTAGTTTTAGTACCTTCGGCTTTCGCCTTTAAATAGATAGAAATTGTGCAGAGATGGAACATATAATAGAAAGTCGACGCAAACATGAGCAAGAAAAGAAATTTTGCCTTACACCTTCAGTACCTTGCTGCAGATTGTCATGTTGTGTCAATTTAGAAGCTACAAAACCTAGGAGATCAAGCCATATGTAGTTTGTTAACACAAATACTTCTGATTAATATAAAATTTGTTCACTGAGAGAGCCAAGAGGCCGCCTAGTGACCACTGCTTTTGAGAGGAAAATGTCATAACTATGAGTTTGGGAAATTTTTCTTTACCTTCGTCTGCTATCTTTCAGTCTATCAGTTATTTCTCATTGTTCCCCTCTCTCTCTCCCCCCCCCCCCCCCCCCCCCCCCCCCCCCCCCCCCCCCCCCCCCCCCCCCCCCCCCTCCCC